GTTGCCACCGGAAACCAGGGAGGCTGGACTGGCCAACCTGGCTGCGTGGCCAGCGGGCTAAAAGAGGAGGTTACAGAGGAACACCACTTAGAAGACTGCTGTCGCTATTCAAGGCAGAAATACAGGAGCGGGGAATGTTAGAAGGGTTGATGAGACCGGCCTGTGGCGATTCAGAGGCAGGGATTGGACGGTGAGTGGGTGTTCTCCTGAAGTCAGAGGGCGGCAATACCATTCAAACAAAGAAGCATGTAGCTGGATCGCACGTGAAGGCATGAGAGGGGGAGTTCTGCTTGGGTCCGGCTACGTCCATGAAGAGACGGTGTAGACAACACTGCATGTCTGTGGAGTTTGCTTCCTCGGCTTCATTCTGGTGAATGAGCACAGTGCTTCTCCTCCTGCTGTATGGCGTGGTCCAGGACTGAATTATGCTGACTGGTTTTAGGAGAAGTGACCAAGGGAAGAAATAGGCAGAGGTAAAATCCCAACCCCAGAGCCATTTACAACTGGTCAGGACATACTACGAGAGAAATCCAACCCAAACTCGTAAGCAAAGGACAGCTACCTGCCCATGCCTGCCCATGCAGTGAGACAGGTCACTGAAGTCAGTCACAAGCAAGAAAACAATGTGGTGACGTGGCCTTGACCTGGGTGTATAGACAGCTGTGTGATCCCTTGCGGCACCACACCCTGGGACAGAGGTAGTAGTCGATACAAGACAACAAGTAGGGGTGAGATGAAGAGAACCTCGAATCCAACAGGCCCAAATCACATGTACACCAAACCTGTGTAAAATAAAACGTCCAACACTTTGCTTTCCTTGAGAGCAGCTGTGGGTGCGGTTTATCATCAGCAATAAGAGGCACGAATAAAGGGATGTGATAATAGCTTTACCCACCTACCTCCACTCAGTTGTATGGGATGGGGCAGTGACCAACCTCCTTGTCTAGTATTAAATATACAGCATGAGGTTAAAGGTCACGGTCACTTTAGCAGGACGCTTCCTGCCTGGGAAAGGGGCTCAGTAAACAGGTGGACCCAGAGAAAATCCAGCCTCCTGCCACTCTACCATTCACTTGGGAAAAAAAGATGTTAATTAGACAGAGGAGCTAGTCAGCATTAGACAGGGGAACTAGCCAGCATTAGACAGGGGAACTAGCCAGCATTAGACAGGGGAACTAGCCAGCATTAGACAGGGGAGCTAGCCAGGCGAACTAGCCAGCAGGCCACCTTATACTACACCTAGGAGATTCCCTTTTTCCCATCCCAAGAAACCCAAGCAAAATGCAGTTACTGCTACAGTTTGGATTTAGACCATTCTCCCAAGGCCAGTGTGTTAAGACTTGGTCTGTGGCATTACTGAGACACAATGTAACCTTTAAGAGACGGGGCCTTATGGGAGTGATCCAGATCATTGTGGGCATGCTCTGGAAGGGCATATCAGGACCCTGGCCCCTTCCTTTGCTTCCCAGCCACCATGAGATGGACAGTCCTCCACCACACACTTTTACCATGGCCTACTAGCTGGACGCAACAGAGGCCGAAACCACGAGCCGACAACTGGTCCCTTGATTTAAGTTAATTATCTCAAGTAGTTTGTCTCAACAACAAAGCTAACCCAGAGACTTCGATCCTAGATACTTCACTCCTCCCCTATGCTCTAGGCAGCTGCCATCAAACCAAAAGTCATCATCATTCAGATGACAGCAGCAATGGCAGAGGTACCCCAGTCCCCTGTGGAATGAGTCTGAGACTCCCACAAAGTGGCAGCTGAAAACCTTAACTCTGGGGTCCCCAGTGCCTATGACACAAGACGCCATGCTACTAAGGGCAGACTCCAGGATACGACACAGACGGCAGGAAAGAACTCTCTGCAAGTAAACTTCCAGGCAACGGAAATCACAAGGCAGCAACGGTGTGAGTGTTGACCGAAGTGTCGCACACTAGACAGAGCCCGGATGCCACTTCTGCTTTCGGAAACTCGGTCAGCATGTGGGAAGTTTCCCATGTTTCTGTTAGAGGTAGTGTCTCCTTCTGCAGGGTTTTTCTGTTCCTTGTCCATAGCGGAGGAAACCCAGGTTCTCAGAAGGGCTTCTGTGGGGCTACCTTTCTGAGAACTTTGGTTTCCTCTGCTATGGACTCTCACTTCCCTCACACAGCTGCAGATACAGAGGCTGTGAAGGTGACAAGCAACACACCCAATACAACAATAACCTATTGTCTGAGCTCAGGGTCAGTCCTTCTTACCAAGCCAGCTGTGTGATAGTTTGAATGAGAAATGTCCCCTACAGACTCAAGCATTTAGTTCCCAGTTGGTGGGCTATTTGGGGACACTTGGGAGGCATAGCCTTGCTGGGGAAGTCTGTCACTGGGATCCAGCTGTAGTGAATAGGAGCAGCGGGCCTCATTCTCGCCTGGCTCCCAGCTAGTTTACACCCGAAATAATTACACGGAAACTGTATTCTTTTAAACACTGCCTGGCCCATTATCTCCAGCCTCTTACTGGCTAACTCTCACATCTTGACTTCAACCCATTTCTAATAACCTGTATGTCACCACGAGGTGGTGGCTTGCCAGGAAAGATTCAGCATGTCTGACCTGGTGGCTGGCTGCATGGCGTCTGCCTCATTGCCTTCTTCCCAGCATTCTGTTCTGTCCACTCCACCCACCTATGTTATGACCTATCAGGCCAAGCAGTTTATTAATTAACCAATGAAAGCAACAGAAATACAGCAGACCCACCTACATCATCCAGCTTTAAGGTTTCTTTTCTTTTAATTATTTTGTTTATGGTTGTTTTGCCTGCCTGTATGTCTATATACAGTGTGCATGTAGTACTTGCAGAAGCCAGGAGAGGGTGCTGGATCCCCCAGAACTGCAGTTGTTACAGATGGTTATGAGTCACCACATAGGCACTAGAAATTGAACTGGAGTCCTCTGGAAGAGCAGCCAGTGCTCTTAGCCGCTGACCATCTCTCCAGCCTTCCCAAACCTGGGCTTTCAAGTTTCAAAGTTATTCACCAGTCTCAATTCACTCGCTTTGCTTCTGGCTTGCAATCTAAGATGTGAGCCCTCAGTGTCAGCTCCAGCCGCCATGTCTGCTGCCTTCTGCAGACATCCACCATCAACCACTCTTTTCCCTCCAGAACTCTAAGCCCTTTAAACCCTTCCATCTGTAATCTGCTTTGATCATGGTGTTTTAGCAGCGGTGAATTTGGGGTGTGAGTCCTCCCTTTATCTGCTCTCGAGATGTTGTCAGTCCTTTCTGCTGCATGAAAGAAACAAGCTGGGCCAACATGACCATATTTGGGGTTAGGAGGGCAAGAAAGACACCTTCGAATACAGCTTGTTTTAAACTGAGGCACATGTAAAGTACAGAAATCTTCAGTGCACAGTGTGATGCATTTAATCCACATATAAATGTTATCAGCTCAGGGCAACCATCCCCATCTCTCACTGCTGATACTATAGATTCGTTTTGCAAGTTCTTGAATTTGTGATAAAAAAACAAATCCACTGTGTGGCAAATGGCCCTTTGTTTCATTCTACCACTGTGTAACAATCTGCTATATTCACATAGCATGCACTAGTTCACTCTTTCTTCTGCCGGGGTACACGTTGGTCATTTCCAGTCTCTAGCAATTATGAATTCATCGCTTCAGTGGGCATCCGTACTTTTATTTCTGTTGGGTAGAAACCAGGAGTGAAATGCTGGCAGGCATGTGGCCAGTGGTAGCAGGATCTGCCATACAGACGTCAGGTACGGCTTCAGATTATTTTAGTGTGGCAGCCTCATTTTCTCAAGTACAACCTGAAAGGTGGTCTGGGCTATGGTGTAGGCAGACTTCACTGCCCACCTGAGATAAACACACTAACTTTAAAGCTCTGCTTACCTGCAGAAATAAATCATCCTTTCCAACCAGGGCTGGCATCGTTGTACCAAGAAACGGTGTGCTGGGCTGGAGAGATGGCTCAGAGGTTAGAAGCACCACTGTTCTCCAGAGGACTCAGGTTCAATTCCCAGCACCCACATGGTAGGTAGGTTGCAAACATCTGTAACTCCAGTTCCAGGAGATCTGACATCCTCTTCCGGACTGTGGGCACCAGGTGTGCACAAACACTCGTGTAGGCAGCACATACACACACATAAAAGTTTAAAGAACAAAAACAGTGGGTGTGCCGTTATGATTGCTACCTTGTCAGCATGTGATTGGTGTTGATGCTGAATGTTCTCTGTGTGTGTCTCTCTCTCTCTCTCTCTCTCTCTCTCTCTCTCTCACACACACACACACACACACACACACACACACACACACACACACCCCTAAAGGTCCCCAACAGGCAGTCACCAAATAAACATTTGATCCTCCTTCCCCCATGAAGTTCTTTACGACTCTGACACCTGGTAATTAATTACTTCCCTCCTACTTTATGTCAAGTGGCTGCTTTTGTGTAGGTCACTGCAGCAGGTGGAGAAATCCAGGGACCATGGAAGTTAGCCAGAATTTCCCAACACAAGTTCATAGAACGTAAAGGTGGCTTCCGACAAAGTAACCTGGGCTACGGAGAAGGCAGCTGGCAGGGATCAAAGGAGGGCCCACGTTACATTGTTTGAGTTCTGTTGCGAAAGACATGCAATACATATTGTTAGTTTAAAGCCTGACTTAGACTCACTGCCCTGTAGCCAGCAGTGAACTCATCAGATCCTGGCATGGAGCCACAACAGGGGTATCCCTTCATTGAACATGGCCTGTCATCCAACCAAGCTTCCAGAGGGCAAAGTGGTCAGACCAGGCTCATCCTAAGGAAATGGGCACTGGGCAAGGAGAAGTACGTATTCAGGGGGATCTCAAGGAACAGGCAGGAACAGAAGGTGTAAAGGGACGTACACCGTCCCTTTTAGGAGCACAGCCACAGTGTTTGCCCCAACCGTCAGCAGAGACGAGATTAAACAAATGTGCACACAGAGGCTCTAAACCGAGGAGAGAGGCTGGGAACACGGGAAGGGTCACTTCTTTTATTATCCCAAAATGCAAAGTATTGAAGGCACTTGCAATAACATGGAGAGGGCAGGGAGAAGGGAAGGAGCAGGAAGCCAAATCCACCTGGTCATTACCCAGCCTGGAGAAAAAGAAAAGCTACAGGGCCAGGTCTGCAAAGCCAGCCCACTGTCCACTACAAAAGATAAAATTTCATTCTAGAGACAATTAGGCAATTACGAGTACACGGGCGAGGGAAAGGACCAGCGGTCACAAGTTAGTGGTTCTTTAAGGAACACATTTGGCAGTGAGGACACCCTCAGGGCCCCTGCTGGAAGAGGTCTCGGTACATCTCGATGAGACGGGCGGCCTCACGCTGGCCGGAGAGCAGAGCACCATGGGTGGTGGAGTAGTACTTGCGGTGCGTGGCCTCGCCGGAGAACAACACCTGCATGGGCTAAGTGGGAGGAAGTGAAGTGAGGGTGGAGAAGCAGCAGAGGCAGTGGGCTCCCCGACTGCCCTGGAACCCCTATTCTTACAAGGCAGACATGAGTAAGCAGGATGCAGGTATCTTCCACAGGATGAAGGCTCACCCACCCACCTCGCCTCCTTCCCAATCCTTCCCCATACACCCATGCCTCAGTTCCTTTGTCTTAAGGCTGTGAGAAGTCCTGGCTGTACAGTCCCCAAGGCTCCATTTACCTCTTAAGAATAGCCCTCCTGAGCCTTTATTTTCTTATCAAACAGATTTATACCACCTACTTCTGAGGCCGGCTGTAAAGATTTAACTATGGTGTAAGCACTTATGGAAGAGTGTAAACAGCAAAGTCAGGTGGTGATTTAACAAACCTTCATGGAGCCCCTACTAGGGTCCAGGGACTGTTCTGGGCACTTGGATGAGAAAAGGTGACCAGGCTGCTGCTTTGTGGAGCTTCCATGCTGGTGGGGAAGCCAGACACGAAACCCAGTTACTAAACAGTGTCGTATGTGATGAAAGGTGTTTGGTGAGGTGCTGGAAGTCCAGAAAAGAGGTTCAATGTCTGGGAGACCCCCACAAAGCCTCCTGAAGGACTGGACCTTGGCACTGCTTCTCAAAGGATGCTGGGTGAGTAAACAGGCAAAGGGAAGTCAGCCAGAGGGAAAAGCCACCACACCGAAGACAGTGAGTTCTCTGGATTAGCCAAGGCTCAATCTCAAGAAAGCAGGAATCTCAGTGAGTCCAAGGACAGTTCAGCTTCTTGCACACCAAACTCGAATGTGAACTTCTCTAAGAATGCAGTGTTGAATCTTCTAAGTCTAGACCAAGAGCATGCGTCCCTAAAGAGCTCCCAGGTGAGCTGTTCCCACCAATAAGGAGCTCGGGGAGGCCGTTAAATGGAAAGAGGGATGGGCTGTGGCCAAGCACAAGCTGCCCATTCCCACGCTCACCCACTTTCTCTTCTCTCCTTAGTTACGCCCTGGTTCTTTTTTTCTTTTTTAATAACTTATTTAATTTTATTTCATGTGCATTGGTGTGAAGGTGTCAGATTCCCTGGGACTGGGGTTACAGACAGTTGTGAGCTGCCATGTGGGTGCTGGGAATTGAACCTGGATCCTCTGAAAGAGGGACCAGGGCTCTTAACCTCTGAGCCATCTCTCCAGCCCCCAAGCCCTGGTTCTTTTGGTTAATGTTTCTTTGCTTACTTGTTTGTTTGTTTTGAGACATGGTCTGGTTGGCCTGAACTCCTACCTGCCTCTACCTTCTGAGTGCTGGGATTTAAGGCGTGCACCACCACCCCCAGCTCAAGTCTAGTTCTTAACTGGTTTCAAAGTCATTCAAAACAAAGATGACATGGCTCAGCCTCTGTCAGCAATGTGTAATCATGTAACTAAATTTTAGTCAATAATCTTCAGATGTACTGCTGGCTCAACTCCAAGAAGTCCCCTTTCTGGTCCGTGGACTTTTCTTCCTGTTGTCGGTCGAAGACATAAGAGCCATTGTTCTTGCAGCCCTCTTAGACCAAGGTGACTGACTACTGCAGCCAGGTGTTCACGATGTTTGGTCCTCCCACTAGCCTGTCCCACTAGCCTGCAGATTGTTGTCCATTATTTCTGCTTTACTCTGTTTCTGTCACAACCAGGACTCTCCTTTGTAGGACAATGCCCACTCTGAGAACAGCTAGACTGACACACCTTAGCTGACAGAAATTGCCATCAGGGACTCCAAAGAATTGCTTTAAATATAATTGCTGCATTTTAACATTTAATGTATGTGCACACATAGTGGACAGAATTTACTATCAGGAGTGTATCTCTCTCAGTTTTTAACAGTGCATGTATGCGTGCGCGTGCACACACACAATCGTGTTAGAATGGAAATCAGAACAACCTGCAAGAAACAGTTCTCTACCTTTTCCATGAGTCCTGAGACTGAACTCAAGTCAGTCACCAGGCTTAGCAATGGGCTCCCTTACCCACCAAGCCATCTTACTGACCTCAGATTTATGATCTTCTTAGAGTACAGTTGGCCCAATTTGGAGGAGGGCAGTATTCTTAAGTTTTACGTTGCTTTAAGACAGGGTCTATGTATCTCAGACTCACCTCGACCTATGTAGCCAAGGATAACTTCAAATCTCTGATCTCCCTCTCTATTTCTCCAGTGCTATAGAATTATGGATATGCACCACTACGCAGGGTTTCTGAGGTGCCTGGGGTAGTACCTAGGGCTTCAGACATGCCAGGGAGGTATTCTACCAGCTGAGCTACAACCCCAATGTTGTCCTCTAAAACACAGTAAGGAAATACTGCACTGCCGTCCAACAGACCATTTGTACTACATAACCCAGTGTGGGAACCATTAGGTACATGAGGCTGTTGAACCTGAAATGTAAGTATTACAACCAAGGAACCAAAACTTTAATTTATTAATTTAAATTCTACTTAATTAATTCAATCTAACTGTGGCTGAAGGCTTATTGCCTAACACAGCAAGCAATGATTCACGCTTCAGAAACACAAGAAAATATTAATTTTCTATGTGACTCTACTTTTTTCTTCCAGATGTTAAGCATCTGTTATCTCATTTTCTCTTCCACTGTGGGAGTCACCCCCACCACTCTTCACCATGGCACCCCTACACGATCCCAAGCCTTCTCCCCGGGACTAGACACATGCAAAATACCCCTTACAAGGCCTGTCCTCACCATTCACAGCCCACTCACCGCTGTCTTGGAGCTCTCTGTGTAGGGTAGGGGCTTGGCCAACTTCTCCACATCTGCCCCACTGGAGCCCACCTGTGTGTATGAATAGGAACCTCGGAAGTATGGGTTGCTGCCCCAGGCCGAACGCAGGATTCGTCGAGGTTTTGGTATATTGGGGTTCCCTGTTGGGAAGTCAGAAGAGCCAAGACAAGGGAGCATAAGAAATGACTACATATAGAAGGTACTCCATGACAGACAATCTATCTCCCTCCTGGGCTCCAGAAGGTTCAGGCAGCCAGGGGGTAGGCATAAAAGACTGCGAAAAATGAGGGGGACCGGGCTCAAACCGTATTCCCAACTCATTACTTCCTGGTGACCCCCAGAAAACAAACACTACTTATCTCAAGGCCTTGGTTTTCCTACTTTAAAGTATTCGGGAGGTGGGAGGTGCCTCAGTGGTATATCTCATGGTTAGCACTCATGAGGCCCTAGGATTGATTCCCAGCAGCATTTAGGTCAATTTCAGATACTCATATTTTCCTTTCTTTCTATTATCATGGGTTCCTGGAAAGTTCTCCTGCAAGAGCAGGCAGGAAATAACCAACTAACACAACCACAGATGCTGGATATGACAGCGCATGACTGGTTCTAGCACTCAGGAGGCCAAGACAAGAGGATCTTGAATTCAAAACCCAGTCAGCTACATCTCAGTGAGTTCTAGGCTAGCCTGGGCTATACAATAGCAAGCCTGGGCGTTACAAAATGAAAAAAAGAAAAAGAAAAACCCTGTCTCAAAAAAAAAATCACTCTATCAGAGAAAAACAAATCTACCTCTGAACAAGATGTGATGCAACAGGAAATGGCCATCTCATGGTGATGGCGACACACATCCTTTTCACCATGAAGTCCTTAGTGGAAAGAGTCATCACTTTGAGTCATTCAAACTCCAAAATGGGAGTGACAGCAGCTGAGGTGACAGGCTAAACATGGATCCCAATGGGACAGTCCCTTCAGTACCACAATCTAGAAAGGATAGACCTGCTACAGACCTAGGGGTTGAGAAAGCAGCCAGGCCCAGGGAGCAGCACGGACACAGGACCCACCTGTGAACTGCCGCAACATCTCTGTGCAGATCTCAGCCACGGCCTCATCATCGCACTTCTCCATGACGAGAGCCTCCTCCCCACAGATCCAGCCACTCAGCACGTGGCCATAGCGCTCCGGTGGGTACAGGACGTCGAAGCCACAGATCTTGCGGTACCACAGCTCAGGTGGGTAGGTGAGGGTACAGCTCTCCGCCTCATCCTCCCACACAAACTGCAGGCTGTTGCACTCAGGGCCCCAGAAGGGCTCCTCGAATTCAAGGAAGATCTTGTCGGTGGTACCGATGCCCAGGCGGTGGATGGCAGCCACCTTCTCCGTGGGCAGACATGGCCTAAAGAAACTGGTGTACTGCCGCTTGAGCACGCCCAGTGAAACCGTCACAATCACGTGGTCCGCTGGGATCACCTCACAATCCTCACACTCCACGACCACCGGCCACTGCTCATCCTTGTCCCACCGCCCCTGCTGGGGACTCTCTCCACTCTGGCCACCCTCCCCAGTGTCGTGATTGTGGTGACCCTCACCACAGGGCTCGATCTCAGGACCCCGGGGGCGAGCTGAAGCCTGGTCCCAGTGGATGCAGCGGACAGGTTTCCCCAGCTGAATGACATGTGGGGGAATTCCCTCAGCCAGCAGCTCCACAACTCGCATGAAGCCCGAGGGGATGATGTGATGGGCGCCAGGGATCTCCGTCCATTCTCCAAAGGCGCTCAGGGACACCTCATCTATGCTGTGAGAACTGCTCTCACAGCTTTCCACCTGTGGAAAGACCCAGAGAGAAGCCAGGTGATGGCAGGGCTAGGCCGGAGAACAAGAGCTCTGGGTAGCACGGCCCTTTGGACCCAGACTCCCCCAGAACTGGTCTTTATCACTCTGGCATCTAAACTCCGCAGCAAAGATACCTTCAGGTACTGCTGGATCATGGCGAGCTTCAGGCGCTTGGTGGCCTCTGTGTCGTCAGGGTCATCCCTGATGCGATTGCGCACCTTCTCCCGGGTGAACACCCCGACGCTGTTCTGACTCTCAGCATTGACTGGTTTACCATGCCGGAAGAACTCCTGGGTCATGTTATAGACCTGCCAGAGAGAGCCCTGGAGACTGAGCACTCTGACCAACCTTCACAGCAAACAGGGCCCAACTAGAAAGCCACCTGCTCCCAGGTGTCCCTGATGCAACTGTGGCTTCGGCATGAAACTGAGCAGGGCACCTGCCCCAGTCAGCCAGCTCCTCACCTCCAGGCCTATAAGAGAGGTGCAATGGGCCCATAGCTTTCTTAGGGACCCTTAGAACAAACTGCAAACATCTGGGACCTGTACAACCTGGGAGAAGGAGCTGTCTCTTCATGGGCTGTGTGCATGTCTGCAAGGGCCCCACATTCCCCTGGAGAATTTGGTCTGCACACGTTACTTTTTCCAAGAACCATCTTCAGGAAACTCACCCCCTACCGATACCCCTGCACCACTCAGATCTGTAAGAACCCTTTCACCTCGCCTGATGTTCACGAAGTTAGAGGGAAGACAGCAGCACAGAAGGGAACATCTCTGGAGGCTCCGGCAATGCAAGAGACAGAAACCACCTGGCAGCCATTTCTCAGCCAAAACACCAACCCACTTCTTATCCACGGTGACCATCAGTCCCTTGAAACTGGGTCCTTCTGCCTCCCCTAAAAGCCTGTCCCATAATCCCCCCATCTCCCACAAACACTGAACAAGTCTACTCCTAGACGGGCCCTAACATTCACTCAACATGCCTCTGTGGGCTCCACACCCCAGATGCATTAAGGAAAAGAAAGTCCTCAGCCCTGCCCATACTCCAGCTGACGAGACACTCTAAGGGGATTTCTACATAGCACTGATAACAAGGAACCCAGGAGTGCTAAGGTCAACCCAGGCAACCCCGACTCATTAGGAGACACAGCACTGGCTACGAGAGATGAGAGTGCTACAGGCATAGGGATCTGCACACTCAAAGATGGTGGTGAGGCCATCGAGATACCTGAGAAGGGACCGTGGGGGTGAAAAGGCAACATGGAGAAGAGCGTAAGAAATAAACGGCCTTGGAAAGGGAGCCGGGCGCCAAACCCTGGACCCCTGAAGCGCTGTGAGGAGGAGAGCAGCAGGATCCCCACCCCCTCTGTCATTTCTGGGTCTATAGCAAATGCGAGCTTCTCAGCTGTGACCCCTCGCGGCCAGGCTAACTAGTGGTTAGCTCCCTCCTTAAAGAGCATCTGGATTTGGCCAGAATGCCTTCATGGAAAAGCGGTCTGCTCTGCACTGCAGCCCCAACACAAGCTGTGGGGCCACAGCAGGGTTCCCTCTAACCAGCACTGTTCTCGGGAGAAAGCCTCCACATGAGACAGGCGCATAAAGATGCCTCTGCAGTATAAATTACAGGGAAGAATATGGGTGAAACTGTGCAGCCTGTCCTGCCCACAACCACAAGACACTAGATGGCCAGCAGTACCTGGAGCCTCAGCAAACTCCTGCATGGTTACTACCAAGGACTTGAGCTGGGGCCTCTCCTTCTCCTCCCTCGGTTTTCCCCAACAGATAAGCAACATGGTAACTAATACTCAGCTCACGGTCACTGGAGACCACAAAGTCCAGCTCGGAAGTAGCAAATGTCACCATCACTAACTAGGGTATAGATCTGTTATGTGGGTACAGTATCCTCCCACACATAAAAGGAGGGTACGGGACGGGGCAGGCCCGGACCACTACACCAATACTTAAGTGCTTTTCCTTAGGGTTACAAACCCTGTAACACTGGGTAGTAGGTACAGCCGTGGACATTTTACAGATGAGAAAACTGGGGATCTGAGAGGCCCTAAACCTTAAGGGCTCAATATTCTACATCTAAGGCTGGTGATATAGCTCAGAGGGACAGCACTTGCAAGTGGGCCTATCACAGGCAAGACCCTGGGCTTGATCCCCAGCATTGAGAAAGGAAAAAGCAAAAACAGAGATGGCTCAGTGAGTAAAGAGCTTAAGCCTGAGGAGCCGAGTTCAAATCCCCAGCACGCATCTATCCCTGAGAGGTCAGAGCCAGGCAGATCCTGGGGTTCACCTGCCAGCCGGTCCAGCTGAAACCATGAGTTTCACATTCACTGAGAGACTGTCTCAAAATGTAAGGTAGAGAGCAATAGAGGAAGACACCCAACAACGCTGACTCTGACCTACACACACACACACAAACACACACAGTTTCACAGGTTTTGTTCAGAAAGGTCGCCAACCCTAACTAAAAGCCACACAAGGAAATCCTGACCCATCCCTCTTCCTCCAGTCCCTAAGCAGCACAGCAGTTTGACAGCCACCGTATCCATTTTATTTTCCACAGCCACCGTTCTTGGTGTTCAGAAGTGAAACTGACCAACAGGAAGCAGAACAAGTCAGGACCACTAAGAGTCACTGTCAGAAGGTATCCACATAGCCAGGCATGGTGGTACACATCTGTAACTCCAGTACTTGGTACCCACATTGCCAGGCATGGTGGCAAACATCTGTAACCCCAGTACTTGGTACCCACATTGCCAGGCATGGTGG